CGAAAAATTTCTTCTTTTCTGAATAAAAGTGTTTTTTCGGATTTTCAGTATGTTCATTTTCAAGATAAAGCAATGCATAATAACAGCTGAGACATCCAATTTATTAGCATTTTTTATCAAAGTACAGTGTTTTTCTTCAAAACGCACTGCATATATAAAACAACCAAATAGGGTGCAATATACAGCAGATCATCAGATCTAATTACTGTGTAGCAATACTTAGCACAGAATCCAAATTAATATTCTAAATTAAAGCATGAAAATGACGAGTGTTGTGCTGTGTAACAGAACAAAACGCATACTGTCACGGGGTTGTCCGTGTGTGTGTGTGTGCGTGTGTGTGTATGTGTGTGTGCGTGTGTGTGCGTGTGTGTGTCCGCAGCAACTTTTCCGCAACTTCCAAGTCGGGAACCACAAAAGTTAGGAAGCTGAAAGTTTAGGGGAACGTTCCCCACCCACGTGTGACCCCACAGTTTTAAATTTAGCTTCTCCGTACCCGTGGGTAACGCGTACGGCCCCGTGAAAGTTTTTTACGGGCAAGTTAATATCTCGGGAATCATGGAGACTAGGGGGCTGAAATTTTAAGATAATGACCCCTGCCCATGCTCAACCTTGCCCATCCAAATTCAGCGTTCTCGCGCTCTCGGGCACCACCTACGGCCTCGTGGAAATTTTGGCCGGTAAACTATTAACTCGGGTATCACGGAAAGATATTCATCCTTCAAGGTTTCGAATTCAGCTTTCATGCGCTGATGCGTGAAATTTTTAAGTGTTTTCCAATGTTTGAACTATTTTTGCATAAAGTACAAAGCAGTGAAAAACATTAATAGGGAATCGTTCGATGGGCTGAATTGCACAAAACACAGGGTCGCACCGGCTAGTCTGGTGCGCGTTGCTTTTTATTCTTTTTTGTGGCAGTTTCACACTTTATTTGCTCTGAAAATCTTGACGATCAAATTACAAGGACCGTGGCGTAGTACACATGTATAGCAGTGCTATTAGTATGCATCAAGAACAAAAATTTTATTTAAACTCACATGGCTTACAAACAGAAAAAAGACAATACGTAAAATTTTATACCACATTTTAGTATCAAATAAATTAGTTTTTGCATAAAAGGCTTTTAACACGACAGCTATTTTGAGAATTTTTAAACGACAATTCAATTATCAACTTTGAATACCGAAGACGTCAATATAGAGCGAGTTCTCGAATATTCTCGAATGATTATATAATAGTGTAGAGGCGATTTCTTCGCCTTGCTCCCCTATCCGCATCCCAAGTGATGAAACCCTAAAAATAAAATAAAGAAAATGATGTGTCATCTTTCGATGACATTCCACCGGGACATCAGGAATCGACGTTCCCAGCGGAGATCTCTGACAGGAGTCCGAATCCCTCGTTCCCAGACTACCTACCCTCCCGCCGCTTTTCCCACCGCAGATGAGATCTACGATGGTCAAATCCCGCCTTTCATTCCCATGCGGAACATTCTCAATTCCCGTTGTCAGAGATTGTGACTCATGATAGTACTTGCAGGAAGAGCGGTATATAAGCTCGAGGATCCGATGTTCGAGGTCCGCGTTCACCTGCTTACGACAGTGCCGCCTGACACGCTTCGTCTGTGATCTACTTCGTTTCGTCTGTAATCTACTTCGTTTCGTCTGTGATCTACTTAATCCTACGCCCGTACGCCTGTAACTGGTATCCTGTGTAATAAAACTTGTCCTACTTTAGTCTGGCCCGACATCTTCCAAGGGTAGTCCGATCTACTAACATAGGCGGTAACTAGATTCAATAACCACGCTTTTCTTTGGTTTCTAAATTAAGACATGCAGATGCATGGCATAATCTAAGGCAAAAAAATCTTTTTTTGGGCTTTGTGATTAACAAAAAATATAAATTTGGGCATGGAGTGTACAGTGAATGAAACTTGCAAAGAAAATGAACATGAAGTACTTTTTTCCGTGTATCGTAATATATCCGAAAGGCGCTCAATGTTCTGACTCATATCAACTGTGTTATGCTTTACAAACAACGGGTCCGTAACGACGGCTTCTTCGACACCAGCTAATTCCAGTGCTGAAAAAAAAAAAAAAACACATCACTGATGTCACGCAAAATGAACTGAAACAATGAAACATTTCAACACCAACTTCCTTGTTCATCCCTGCGATATATGGGCTTCTCGCCGAGCCAATGGGGGCTATACCGTTACGTTTTGAACGACGTAATCCTTGCACGG